CCAGAATTGACATTTATATTGCTTTCAAGAGAGGATGCAGTAAGGCGGCTAAGTAAATTGACAATACCAGCAACGTTTACTGCAGAGAACCTTTAACATGTATATCACAATGTCCCAGCGCAACCAATAAACGTGTGGCTGTATTCGGCGAGAATACCATTAGATCCACTTTCCGATGAAGGAGGATTTTTGACATATTCATGACACGATTACGAACTCTTGCAAAGTCAGCACTTTCTGTGTAATAAATAAAGCATTAAAAAAACAACTCCCCTTGGCATACAATATCAATGTGCCTAGTCTGTTAAACGAAATTGTGTATCTTAACTAGTCATGAAAATTAACACTTACCCTTTAGACGGTACGGGTTATTGGAACTCGGACTCAACCTGACAACTAACACAGGCGTTTACTTCCAACCATAATAAAACACATGTTTGTCTCCGATAATGAACACTGTCGTTATTAGTACTTCATCAGTGGATTTAAACAAATTATTGGTTAAAAGAATCGGAAAAGAAACGTTATACATGACAGTCAGTTTATAGTTTATTTCAGGTTTAGTTCTTTAAGAGCAATCACACCTATGTGTAAACAATTTCAGATACATATTTCGTTTATTTTTCTTAAAAATCTTACATTTTAGTTAGTAAGATGATTTTGCGTGGTGCGATCGGGTACATATGAGACGACAATGCTAGAGAGTAACCAGATTTTCCAACTAAACAGTTTCCATTTGGCGTAAAAGGATAAACAGCAGTTAAAATGATATGAATAGGTCACTGAAAATCAGTGATGACACCAGGTGTTCAGAGAAATGTCCGGGGAAGTGTTCATGTCTTTAAGACTACACACTAATACACAAGACATGAAAGCCAGGACTCATTAAAAACGATGGTCTATTTGATTTGGGTACCGGTAACGTGATACCACATTTGCATAATACAAAACAGTACCCCTTCTCAATAAATAAAGCGACAAACCCCTTTCCATATCCAATAGAAATCTCTGCATAAAGTAGAGTCGATTGTACGATTCCGACTATATCGTGAGCATGCGTATCTGAATCACTATCAAACAGTGATGATGCAGGTGTTCGCGAAGAGGTGAACGTATCCTTCCCCACCGGTGGCACCCGCCACGAACACATGCAAAGGCAAGTCAAGTGTTCACAAAGCCAAGCATTTTGTTTTCGTCAAATGAAACGTCGACATGTTAATATCAGGAGACGTTTTTACGTCCATATGAATGTACGCTGGTTGTACAGTTATTACAAACGTTTACTGCACGTGTAATCCATGCTAAATGTGATACGTTGTACCGTTAGTAAGATAGAGAACATGTGACAGTAAGTTAACAGGATATTGTGCATCTGTTAAATTTTGCATTTCTCTTTACATTAATTTAGTGAATTCGTATTCTGTCGATTACTAAGAATCTGCGTGACCCCCGTTTTCATACGTCTGTACAAATCGCCATGAATAAAACCAACGTAAACTTCTACTTCCCGCAACGACTCGGTTATTATTCGCCTTAAATCGCGGCCATAATTCGACGATCAAGGCATTTGGAATGTTTCAATATTCAACGATATTGTATGTCTTTGACGTCTACATCTTAAAAAACACACAGTACTTTTTAAGGATGTTGGTCAAAAGCTTGTAACCTATAATCAACTCGGAAATGAGAGGAAAGGAGAAAATGGGTCCTTGAATTCATTTCCAAGAAGAAAAAAAGATTATATTCTTCCTTCAAGTTTATATACGACGTTGCGTGCAATGAAGGCGTTAATTTGCGTATGTAGCTGTCCGACACATGTTAGTTCTGGAACCAATATGTCATTTCAGAAACTCTCGCTTTGTGTGTCTGACATTCTTACCGATCTTCAATTGAGATGGTTCCCTTATTATTGCATTTTTTACATAAAAAATCGCGATTGTATCACTGTAAGTGACAGGCGTCAAAAGACGGAAGGCGATGGCATTTTTCATGAAATCATCTTTTCTTTACGTATCAAATTGTTAGATATTATCGTCAACAAAAACCGTAAACAAGCCGTTATTCAAGTTTTATACATCAATGTTGCCTTATTTCATCATATTACCGAAAGCTAGTCAGTATTCTGACACGCGCTCCTCTCATATCGAGTGTGAGGGAATGTATTCATTGTAACGCCGGAGCAGAAGAATGCCTTATCGTGAGTTTTTTCTCAATGTACGACTGTTTGTATGTTGGGCTATTTCTAATTCAGTCGTACTCCTGTCACCGGTTTATCGTGGCCAGCGATAGGACGTGATGTACACTGGAATCCAGCCAGAAGTCACAATCTCTCGACAGGGAGTCCCCGAAACTGAAAACGTTCAATCTCTCATCAAATTTATAACATTGATCTCGCCCATGAGATAACGAATATTGTTTGAGACTTCATCTGTCAGTGTCCGAGATTGTTCGCATGTGCGTCGCGTGGAAGGTCGCCAACGGTGCCAAAACATCACGATAACCGTTTTCACGCGCTCACAATATATTTCTCTTCTCCAGTCTTCCATAAAACGACTTTTGTTTCCCGGCTTGCATTGGCACTTGCGCTTTCATGACATCAATTTCCAGTAATGGACTGGGGTTAATCGGGAAAGGGTATTTTTGCCGTGAAATCAGCCCTCCATTTCATCTGCTACCACTGCCATTGTCTCGCCTCCGCAGTATCGCCTCTGTTCGCCATTAATGTTGGCTTGATAGGAAAACCATCTCGGGGCATGATGGGATGCGAGATAGTGCGAGACCTCGATGAGACAGCGGCGCCAAAGTCGCTAAATCTCGTTGAGATCTCGTGATAACCCGGCTCCTTCGAACGGGATGGATCACGTTGCGAGCGCTGACAGCATAACAGATAATTAATTTATAAAATTTCACGTTATCTGATTGTATATCTTACGCAGACAAGGATGTAGTCTTAGACGAGTGGTTGTGGACAAGACCAAAATTAAGCTTATTTTCTCGCCCTCTTCCGATCATTCGTAAAATAAATTGGCGCGGGATTAATAAGACTTAAATAGTTAACCACTTTGTGAATACAAGGGGGTCCCTACTGTTTATCTAGCATCAATCTGCGCATATTAGCACGAAGGGTCACCAAAATGGCAGACGCACGAACGTTCTAGAGGACTATAAAATGAGACAGAGTCGATGAAAATGTAATCAAGACCAGCATCCCTGTGGTTTCATATAACATCAACATGCTGATGAAGCCGTTAGCGATTGGAAGATGTCCATCATGTTTAAACATTATTCAGATTATACTAATAACCATAAATATAAAGTGGTATATTACTCTCGAGAAATGTTCCTTCGTCACGAGGAATGCAATGATCTACAAACGTGCTGTTATTGGCCATTCATATTTATTGTAGTAATTTGGGATTTTCATACACTATTTGGATGCTGCAATAATTTCGGCAACGTGTCTTGTAACAATAAAGAAAGCATTTGTTCTAGACCTCGTTTTAAGCGCTCGGTCATCTCAATGAAGACTTTCCAGTTTGAACAACACAAACATGCATCACAATCTGGTAGCTCCCACTACAATTCTGTCTCACGACGAACTCAGAATTTGATCGTTGCTGATGATGTTATCGCTGTCGAGGACGACCTTCGGCTTCGTCGTAGACGTACATTATATGTACGAATTCTATCACATCACCAGGAACCTAAAGGTTTTGTCATGGAAGTGTGTGTTGACTCGGAGATATTTTCACGCGGCACACCCATGAACATCCATGAAGGTTATAATATGGTACGAAGGAGATATAGGAGACACGTGTAACCCAGTCGACACAATTGTCTGTGCAGAGTTCGAATCCCAGATACGCTCTTATGATGTTTCTTGGTTTGTCAGCACCATATCAGTGTTCGCGGTCATTTGCAAAAAGTGATAAGCTTCAGGATTAACATCAGATTCGTTTCTCCTCACACATCAAGCTGATGCCTATTAAATACAGTAAAATACGTTTATAACGAACACGCTTATAACGAACTCATGGATATGACGAACTTTTTTGTCCCGGCCACTGCTGTATATATGCTATACATATGCTTATAACGAACTACGGTTATAAAAAACTAAAATCAGTGGCTCCTTTGAATTCGTTATAACCCAAGTTTAATGTACTGTTTAAAGCGGCGTTAAACCCAACAAACTCACTACTAAGTCAATAAGTGATGTCTTAACATCTTAACCAAACAACGATGCAAAATAAATTCCTCTACATAAATATTTGAAGGGTTTCACAGAGGTGTCGCACACAATCGTGTAATAATTTGAAATGTCTTCTTGGTGTGTGACCCGTGAAGATCCGGAGTAGAATAGGTCTTCAGCAACCCATGCTTTCCGGAAAAGGCGACTACGGGGCGGCTAACGGGATCAGGTGGTCAGGCTCGCTGACTTGGTTGAAGCACGTCATTGTAACCCAATTGCGTGGATCGATGCTCTTGATGTCAATCACTGGATTGTCTGGTCCAGACAGTATACTGACTCCGAGCCGACCAGTCCTTGTTTTAGCCCCTTAATGCCGAGCGCCAGACAGGGTAACAACAAGTACCATATTTTAACGACTTTTGGTATGACGCGGCCGGGGATCAAACCCCGGACCATCCGCTCTCCGGGCGGACGCTCTACCACTAGACCACGGAGGCAGTCTGTATTGAATGACCTTCCGTGGATCTTATAGTTCGCTTTAATACAACTATATTGCCATAAATGTTAACATGGATAACGTGCTCTTCTTATCCTCACGCAGTTATTCAATTTATTTAATTTCAGGGCATACACTAGACTTGCATAAGTCTCTAAGGCAATAATTATAAGTTTAAATAATTATTTCTAGATTATGTAAATGATAAGAACAAGGTGTCTTATTAGAGACTGGAGTCTTTCAGATATCTAGACTTGTATTAGGAAGTTAGAGTTACTAACACATCCATGTACTTATCACTCCGTACAGCCTCGGAGCAAGGCTAGACATACACTTTTACAACATGTTCTCCCATACACCAAAGTAATGAGTATAAGTTACTTATATCAGACAATTGTCACAGACCTAGTTCTGAACGCAAAATACACATTAAAGACTTGACATCGTTCAGTTGTGCCATGGTATACAATACACAATGCATTTCAATGATTTTCTCAATAGATGAAACAACGATGCAGATTCGTTGAGTACTATTCAAAGTATGTTAACAATTTTTCTGGGATTATCATCACCTAACATACAGAAGAAATATTTTTTTTCATTGACGAGAACACCTGGTGTCATCATTTTGTGTTCACAGTGGCGAGTGCGTGTTGGTTCGCCGGACTAAATTCCTTTTCTTGCGATAGGAATTTGGAGAATAACTTACGAGGAACTGAAAAGGGAAAATACGAATTATCTGTCCCTAGTGAATTAATTTTGTAAGTTTTGTTTGTTTGTTTGTTGCTTTACGCCGCACTCAGCATTATTCCAGCAGTATGACGGCGGTCTGTAAATAATCGAGTCTGAACCAGACAGTCCAGTGATTGATCGTATGAGCATTGATCTACGCAATGTGGATACAATGACATCCATCAACCAAGTCAGCGAGCCTGACCACCCGATCCTGTTAGTCGCCTTTTATGACAAGCATGGGTTGCTGAAGACCTACTCTAGCTCGGATCTTCACGGGTCAATTTTGTAAGTTTGTTGTTTGTTTGTTTGTTGTTTAACTCACCAATATTCAGCAATAAATACAGAGCCTTGCTGTACGATGTTATTTCAAGAGATGCGAGTAGTTTATTCCTTATGTGACCCAAGGTCATTTTTGTGAAAAGTTTTTTTAAACATAAGTTGAACATCAACTCCAATCTATTATTGGAGCGACGGAAAACGTTGGCCCTTCTCCGTCTTTCACTATAGGTGTGAGGTGAGGTGAAATGGGGTTTAACGTCGCGTCCAAGATTATTGCACTTATATAGCGACGTGCATGCACGTGTATGTGTGTGTGTGGCTGCTTGTACTAGTCCGGACTGATGCCGATTTATAGTGCTAGCTCACTGAGATACCATGCCGCAGTTTAACATGAATACCCCACTCAGACACAGTATACTGACTCCGAGCCGACCAGTCCTTGTTTTAGCCCCTTAATGCCGAGCGCCAGACAGGGTAACAACAAGTACAATCTTTTAACGTCTTTTTGTATGACGCGGCCCGGGATCGAACCCTGGACCTTCCGCTCTCCGGGCGGACGCTCTACCACCTTTCACTATAACAAAATGGCGGTCATAGACTAAGATATAAGAAATAGTTTATTTATCAAAAGCACAGAAAACAAGATATATGTTTACCTTACAATTACATACGTAGGATTGTTTGTTGTTTTACGCCGCACTCAGAAATATTCCAGCAATATGACAGCGGCCTGTAAATTCTCGAGTCTGGGTCAGACAAGCCAGTGACTGATATTATGAGCACCATCCCAAACGGGTGGGTAACGATGACGCAATTCAACAACCTGACCTCCCAATCCATTTCAGTCGAGTATAGGTTACTGGGACATATGTTAACGTTTTGTACGTAGGATCATTAAAAAGGCCGGGCAAAAGAAAGTAAAGACTCAAACTGATCCGGACAACACCTGCTTAAGTGTGTTACCTTCATCTCTGACACGTGAAGATCCGGGGTAGAATAGATCTTCAGCAACCCATGCGTGTCGTAAAAGGCGACTATGCTTGTCGTAAGAGGCGACTAACGGGATAGCGTGGTCAGGCTCGCTGACTTGGTTGATGCATGTCATCGTATCCCAATTTCATGGATCGATGCTCGTGATATTAATCCCAGGATTGTCTGGTTCAGATTCGATTATTTACAGAGCGCCGTCTTATAGCTGGAATATTGCTGAGTGCGGCGTTAAACAACAAACAAACAAACAAACCTTTATCTCTGTGTGCTGTACAACTGCCACCTCCATGTTCCCTGAGACGCCATGTGCGACATCACCTGTTGTTAGATATTCATTGATATGATGCATGTAAATACGTCACCATCAAAAAACTTTCTTGTTTGTTTCATTTTAGCCACCATCACACAGGGGTGTGTACTTTCTTTTGCCCGGCAGTATATATTTAACTTAAAACTAGAAAAGTGAGATGCATCATTTATTTAAAACATAAAATATAAAATACCCTTTACATGCACAGCTTGACAATTGCTTAGCATTCATCATGAGTAAATTAAACGTATTGCACCAAAACATTCTTTGCTGAAAATAAACAGACATAGCGAACGAATCGTCCACAATTCAATATAAACTTCACAGGTAACCTACTATCAAAACATACAATAAATATGAAAAGAATGTCAAAACTACATTTCCCTCATGATGACATATTTCTCCTCAGGGCTCTGTCCTATTTTTAAAATATGAAAAATACAAGGGGCAAAAAACAGTTCCGATCGAAAACTATAAAACAATATGTAACTCCATAAATTAATTTTAACTGTTATGGATTAATAATTTTACCATTTAAAAGCGTAAATTGCTTATTATATTATATGTTTATGAGAGACAATCTCCACGAGTCAAGATGTGAAAGACTTAGGCCCACCACTCTCTGTCTACGCTCGTCAGCACGAGTCTGGCACCAACATGAAAGCCCTTCACATCATGATAGTATTATACAAACATGGCCAAAAGGGAAGTTTGATGGGGCGTGAAGAAGTCATATATCTCTCTTGGCTGCAGTAAGATGGCAATTCTGAATTCCGGCCAATAGGCGGCCACGAGAGGATGTTCTCGCTAACGAAATTATTCTTTTATTGCCGCAACGAAGCTCTTCGACTGCCATTGCAGCAGCCACTGGGCAGTAATCACATTACCCCTCAAGTGTTTGTAATCACTACAGCGTCGCTTTACTGTTGCTAGCACGTGTAGTCTATCAGGACAATTTGTGATCAATTATGAAATAATAAACGTCTGTGTCCACTACTACATCAAAGCCTCCCCGTGGGGTAGGGGAGAGGGTTCGGTTACACTGCTAGGTGGCCCGGGGGTGAGAAAGGCTGTCCGGTGGGTGCGGATTGTGTGCGAGGGAAAATTGTCCTATTGTTGTCTTTTTTATGTTGATTTTTTAAAATGTTTATACGGATAAACAAATTGAGGAAATTGGAAACGATGAACCAAAAATCATCAAATGATTATTTATCTATTTACTTGACACACGATGACGAAAGCCAAAAGACCTCGGTCAGTTGTATTCCTCGATTAGAAAAGATGGCACATTCACCCAAACGTAAACATTCGCTGTCAGATAAATACATGGGTGTAACGACAATGTTTGCGCGAAAAGCGAAACATGGACATAACAAGTTGATATAAATGGTTCCTTAAATGTGCATTTGTATTTAATTTAATTTTAAGTACTGGAACTATCCAGAAACAATAGCAATGTATTCTATGGGGGATGAATATAAACTACCTGGCAAAGAAAAGTATACACCTATGTTTGATGGTGCCTACATATAAAACAAACAAGAAATGGTTATTCTATGATGTGTATTATACGAAGATAACAGTTGTGTTTTGTGCCTTATGTTTGTAGTGTATCGGCGGCCTTTTTCAGAGTAGTAACGTTTTGATAACGTTTGTAATGTTTTGGTCAAATCCCATTTTCAAAATTTTCAAGTGTATACTTTCTCTTGCCCGGCAGTTTATACGAATCAATGCAGAAATTGTTGTTTTATTATACATGTTTCTGCTACTCAGACGGACTTTAGGGTGGGTGGGTGTGTGTGTGTAGGGGGGGGGGGGGGGGGGGGGGGGGGGGGGGGGGGGGGGAAGCATAACGTATCACTAATTCTTCCTTTATGTAAATCTGTTTCTGGTCAGAATGACTAATGTATACTAATACAATAAACACAGGCCACACTGACGTTCAGTGAACCTTTTAAATCAATTTGTTATTATGATAATTCGCTTTTCACGCGAACAATAAGGTTAATTAGCGCTGATGAACGAATCGAATTTATTTCGTTACAGCAATTATTGTCATGTGCCGCTCTGCAATGAGGAAATTAACTTTGTTATGGTTTGTGTGCGTATGCGCGTGTGTGCGTGTGCGTAAACGTAAGCGAGTGCGTGTGCTTTTATGACTTTGTGATGAAATGGAAAAAAGATAAGACTGGGATCTTAGTATTGTAAAAATCTGTACATGTATATACAATTCGGCAAACATATATACTGACGGAATAATGTATTTGTTTGTTTGTTGTTTAACGCCGCACTCAGCAACATTCCAGCTGTGATTGCGGTCTGTAAATAATCGAGTCTGGACCAGACAATCCAGTGATTGACAGCACGAGCATCGATCCACGCAATTGGGATACGATGACATGCATCAACAAAATCAGCGAGCCTGACCACTCAATCCCGTTAGTCGACTCTTGCGACAAGCATAGTCGCCATTTACGGCAAGCATGGGTTGCCGAAGACCTATTCTACCCCGGATCTTCACGGGTTTGACGGAATACAATAAGTCAACAGCTAAAGCGGCATGTGTTATGAATTAAATTTTTATACATCAAACTAAATATTATTCGACCAAATAGTGAACCAACAAATACTAACATTTCATTCAGTGGTTTACATGTTTGAGATGAAGAACTTTCACTAACTTAGTTAACACAGCAGTGAAACATTAACCCCCAATTTTTCTGTGTCACCTCAATTTGTACCATGGCCATATTACCGACAGACCTATCCTATAGTTAACATACCTAGGTTAAGCTGTGTACATCTGACTTGAGCCGTGAAGGCGAACGTGAATATTGACGAAATTAAAGCACCCTGGACATGGCTATAATTATAGGGGCGCGCTGTTATGAGAGGTAAGGGGGTAAGTCGTTGGTACTCCGGTGACGGGTAATTTCTGGAGGTAATTTATTAAAGCCAATAAACGTATACATGACAATCTTGTCCGCGGGGAGAGGCGATCGCCTTGAGGGTACCACAAATTAGAGACGGGGTGTAAAATTGGCAACTCCGAGTGATTGTATTTAATTGACTGTTTCCCCAAAGATCATTGTGGCAACGCACACTCGGACTAAAGTGAAGTATCTTCTCCTTAATTTGGTAATTTTCTAGCTTCTTGTTTTAAGTGTCGTATGACTACGAGCCGTCTTGTTAACACACGTGTGTGCCTTCCTTCGCCACAATCCACGTGCCACGGCTTCGGCGCAGGGGGAAGGAAGGGCAAGTAACTCAGGAACATTTGGCGGAGGCGGGTCCCTGTCAGGACGGAGAGCGAGATGATCGATCAAAGAGGGAAAACTATCTAATTGTGATCTTTAATCATCAACCACAAAACATCTTTCCGCATCAAAACAGTTTAAGCTGCAGCCGGTACGGCTTTCAATAGACACCGGGCAAGTTTGACACCTATTACCCGCGCTTACAGGCGCGTGGTGCATCTTGCGGCTCGGCGTTGATAATTGCTTGGCCGCAATTGTTTTACAGATGTCGGGTGGTTGGTCGTGTAATGGTGGCCGGATGAATAAAGAAATTTTGTAAACCAGAGCGTAAAACAAGCTCGCTTGTATCAGGGACACACAAAGAGGAGAGGTTGGGATGAGAGGGGGCCGGTTCAATTGTCACCAGGACGTTTGCAGGGGCGCACGGCAGATGGGGGAAGAGCGTTGCCCCGGCATGCGTCTATGGAGACCCGCAATAGACATATCACTGTCAGTCCAAGATTAGCTGCACACTGATTTGGGGCCAGGACTTCTAGTTAAAAGGATTACCCTGGAAGTACAGATCTCTGTTATCACGGATCATCTTAAAAAAACATGCGAGTCCGAGACAAACTGGGCGACATGAAAGGCAAATTGCAAATTGTGGTTGTCTTTACGGCGTAGATGTACATTGTAATTGGCTTGGACTGCCAATATCCGCGACAATGTTATCGGGAAAATCGGACGGCCAACACTGATGAATATTCAATAACATTTATTGTGACCAGCAAATACAATAAAAGGGTAACTTGGCCGCCATTGTCTCAGCTCTGAACAGTTGGGTTGTCGAACGACACCGCTTTCATTTGCAAAACGTAAAAGCATAGGCACTTGAACAAGAATGGTCTTATCATTAAACAAAGGCTATTTCCTCTGAATATAACCCCTGCCGTGGGATGTACTGTGATAACATACATTGAACAAATCTCCGATTATTTGTCCCGGTTCAACTCTTCACTGGAGAGATCCGTATCTTCACACAAAAATCGCTCTATGGCTGATATAATGCCGGCGACTTTAACTTGTAACTCACTCACACAACATATTCTTTTTTCTTTTGTTAAGTACCGAAAGACAAGGAGCAATTATTGACGTATTTTCTGTGGGACGTCGTTGATTTTATCATGGCAACATTTTAGTGTGAGTCCATATACTCCTTTGTCAGAAATGAAATGTCTAAGTTATAGACTTTCAGTGAATTTATATTGATACTAATCATTGGATAGCTGTCATAATTGATGCTCGTTTGTCTTTAGGGTACTTAAATATATGACTCTGATACATACACAGACTTCCCCAGTCTCTAAAACAGACAGTGAAATCTCTCAAAACATCCTTAAGGTTGGTTGGTTTGTTGTTTAACGCCGCACTCAGCAATATTCCAGCTATATGACGGCGGTCTGTAAATAATCGAGTCCGGACCAGACAATCCAGTGATTGATATCATGAGCATCAATCCACGGATTTGGGATCGATGACATGCATCAAACAAGTCAGCGAGCCTGACCACCCGATCCCGTTAGTCGCCTTTTACAAGCATATTCACACATCCTTAAGGACCATGGGACCATGGGAGACATACCGAATTACCCCTCAATAGAAATGCTTATTTATTTATTTATTTATTTATTTATTTAGTAATCAATTACCCTTGCGGACATAAAGGGACACCAATTAAACGTCAAGTCTCCTCTATTTTGTTTGATCGATTT